CTGTGCTTTGCTTGAGCTTAGCTTGTTCTAAGTAAGTGCTTTAGACCACTGAGCCATCTCACCAGCCCCCCTTTAGTACTTCTAGCACCTCTAAGTTTGTAGGGCTTGGGAGCCATCTGGCCAGTAGCTACCATAGAGGGACAGGCATAGCCAGGGCCTTGGTCCCTCCAGGGCTGATACAGTGACCAGGTTTGTGGACTAAAGGCCGCCGGTTGAGCCTGACCCGTGCTGCTCCCTGTGGCAAGATGGCAAGGAGTGTCAGGTGCTGTGGGGCGTGGGCTAGGGCGGTGCCATCGGGGCCCCAGCACGTCCAAAGGCCCTAGAGCAGGCTGGGTTCAAGTGTGCTGGGGCCACAGCCAGGAGCCAGTATGGTCAGGTTGAGTCTGTCCAGAGGCTGGGGTGGCTGAGGTGGCCAGTTGCTCCAGGACTGATTTGTATTTCAGATTACAGAACTTTGAGTGCTAAAACCAGAATATTCGGTCACCCCATCTGGCAGATCCCTGGCAGCCGGCTGCTCTGAAGGGCGGAGGCCTTTACTCACCTTGTTTCCTCTAGTGTTTTCAGCACTCAGCACAGGGCTCAGGGACTCGTGCCTGTCACTATGGCTGCTCAGGAGGCTGAAGCAGGAGGGTGGCACATTTGAGCCTAACCCGGGCAACTTAAAGATTTAGCAAGATCCTGTCCCAGGTTAAACAACCAGAAGGCTGGGGGAGGTAGGTTAGTGGTGAGGGCCAAGCATGTGGGTGGGAAGCCCTGGGTTCTTGCCTTCCAATCCTTTGGGAGTTTCTTGTTTGTTTGTTTGTTTGTTTATTTATTTATTTATTTATTATTTTTATTTTTATTGCTTTTTTGGCGGAACCGGGGATTGAACTCAGGCCCTTGCACTTGCCAGGGAAGCGCTTACTCCACTGAGCCATCTCCCCGGCCCCTTGTTTATTCTTTGAGATGGCAAATCACTCAGTCATTCATTTGCCCAGGCTGGCTGTGAAATTTCTGTCCTCTTACCTCAATGTTCCTAGTGCTGGGATTACAGATGTGTGCCACCATGCCTGCAAAACTAATAGAAGAGCTGGGTGTGGTGGCATACATGTGTAGCCCCAGAACTCGGAAGCTGAGGCAGGAGGATCCCTGCAAGACCAGCCTGGCCTAACAGGTGAGCTCCAGGCCAGCCTGAACTGCATAGTGAGACCCGGTCTCAAAAAGAAAGTAGTAGTCGTAGTAGAAGAAGGAAACGGGCTGGGATACAGCTTAGTGGTAGAATACCCATGTGTTCATCGAATCAAATTTTACCCCGTATGCGGCGCAGGTTCCTTGTCCTGGCCTCCTGAGTATTGAGGAGAAAGTGGTTCGGAGAGGTTGAGCTTCTGCCCAGGGCCCACACAGGGCTTCCGTAGCCCTCAGCGGGGGCGTCCCAGGGGACCAGAACAGCATGGGGTCCCCGGCTGGGTGCTGACCGTGCGTGCCACCATCCCGTCCCCACAGGCAGGACAAGCTGAAGGTGCACATGCGGAAGCACACAGGCGAGAAGCCTTACCTGTGCCAGCAGTGCGGCGCTGCCTTCGCACACAACTACGACCTGAAGAACCACATGCGTGTGCATACCGGCCTGAGGCCCTACCAGTGCGACAGCTGCTGCAAGACCTTCGTGCGCTCCGACCACCTGCACAGGCACCTCAAGAAGGACGGTTGCAATGGGGTCCCTTCCCGTCGAGGCCGCAAGCCCCGTGTCCGGGGAGGGGCCCCTGATCCCACAGTGGGGACCGGTGTGCCACCCCCAGGCGCCCCCAGCTCCGCGCCCCCCGGCTCCCCTGATGTCGCCACCACCACCACCACCGTCGCTGCTGCCACTGCCCGGCGCAACGGCCAGGAGAAGCACTTTAAGGACCAAGAGGAGGACGAGGAGGCCACCAGCCCCGACGGCTCCTCGGGCCGGTTGAATGTAGCGGGCACCGCTGGTGGAGATGACAGTGGAGGTGGCCCCGGAGCCACCACCGACGGTAACTTCACAGCCGGACTCGCCTAAAAACCAAAAACAGAAACCCGAGACAGACAGACAGAATGAGAGAGCAAGAGAGCTAACCACCCACCCCCAAAAATACACAAAAAAAAATCTATCTATATACAGATATCTATATCTATATATATATATATATATATACAGATATATATATATGGGCGTCACAGATCTAGGATAGTGCTTTTCTCCATTTCTTCTCCTTCCTGGCGTTTTTCTCCCTCTGTAGGGTCCCCTCCCTCCCTGGCTCCTGTGTGCCCCCTTCCCTGACCCCATCTAGATGTCACTGACTGGGCTTTGGGGCTCAGTGTGGGGGGCTCTGTGGGGCACAAGGATTCTGAGCCTCCCCCACCCCCAAACCTGGGTAAACCTGGGTGTCCAGTGTGGGTTCTGGGGCCTTGTCCCAGGTCTAGGCTGGGGTGGCAGTGAGGGGTGACGTGAGTCCTTTTCCCTTTCCCTTTCCCTGCTGGTTTCTGAGTCTTTCAGACAAGACCTTAAAAATGATTTTTGTCTGCTCTGAGCGGACGTTAAAACAGCCCCTGTCCCTGACCCCCACCCTTCTTCCTCAGGGCACTTAGCAAGGGGGGGGGTCTCCCTGCCGATCCCCCCAAGGCCTCCTGCCTCCACCCTGCCTGTGGCCTGGCTCCTCCGCACCTCCTGGCCGCTGAGACAAATCTATTTATTTCCAGGCCTGGAGAAAGGGGCTAGGACGGGGTGGTGGTGGTGGCAAGACCGGGGAGGGGGGCCAGGGGGCACCAGGGTGGCTCTAGGGCCTCCCGCCACCTTCCGTCACGGCACTTAACAATCGGTGGGATCCCAGGGCCACCCCTCAGGGCATCCCCACCCTCCTGTCCCTGCCCCGACCTAGGCCCCCTAGACCCCTATGTTTAGATAGTCAAAGCTTCTGTCTTGCCCCAACCCTGAGCCCCCCTGACTTTTTTAAGCACTTTTTAGATTTTTTCTTTTCCTCCTTAAAAAAATTTATATATAGATATATATAGATATATATATATATATAATATTTCCTAGAGGAGCAGGTGACCACGCGGGGTGACTCTGGCCAAGATCGGAGGGGACCCAGGGTCTCAGGAAAGCAGGGATGGGAGATTATTGAGTAGGAGAGTCCAGATGTCCAATGTCACAAAAGCAATAAAAAAAAAAATCAAAGATTTTACAAAATGGAAAGGAGCAAAACAAAACAAAACAAAAAATGACCGCAACCAACCACATCAGAAGTCTTGGCACTTTGTAACAGAACGGGTACTTTATCTTAATTCTTAATTTAAAACTATGTTTACAAGTTGTAACCAACTTCTATGAAAAGTTGAAAAGACAAAAAAAAAAAAAAAAAAAAAAGCGAGTGAGAGCGAGAGAGAAAGCAAAAGAAAATTCCTAAACGTCAATTTATTTTTGTACAAAATAATAATAAAAAACCCACCACAAAACATAGAATCCACGTCTGTTCCCCAAGGCCAAGGGGGGGTGGACAGGAGGCCATCAGAAGGGACCAGAGGGCCTCTCGGTCCCCTCTGCCGCAGGAGCCCGCGCCAAGGGCAGGACCTTAGGGTCCCCCCAAGTTGGTGCCATGTCAGCCCCACCCTCCCCTCCTGTCCCCTTTTTTTTTTTTGTTTTTGGTCTTTGCACCTGCCTGACGACCACCTCTTTCATGGCACCTTCTTCCTCTCCGCCCAGCTCAGGGATGGGCCCTGAGACAGGACTGGCCTCTCAACCAGCCGGACCAACCCACCCGCCTCATGTCCCCACCACCCCTGCCCTCCAGCATGGCCATCCTGCATGGCCACCAAGGGGCCGCCATATTGGAAGTGCTGTGTTACCTCCTCCAAGTCCTTCTGCAAGGGCGGTGACAGGACAGGGGTCCCCTCCAGGGCCTTGCATCTCCCCTTCCATGCACCCTCTCTTTTTACTCAAAGGCACTGACTGTAACCCGGGGACTGGCACCTGCTTCCCCCCAACCCCTGGCCCCCAAAAGGCTCGGCACACACCGAGCTACAGGCCACGGACATGGCCCGGGTTTGGGGTGATGATGTTGCCAGACGCCAGGATGCCCCGCCCACCCCCATCATGCCAAGGCCAAGCCCAGTGTGAAATCCTGTAAGGTTTCTGTGGGACTGAGGCCCCTCTTCCTGTCGAGGCTCAGGGGGTGTGGGAGGGTGTTCCTGTGTGCCCCCCACTCCTGTCCCCTCCTCCTGGCACCCTGTCTGTGACAAACGTCTTCTGTCTTGCTTTTGTTTTTAAAGGGAAGCTTTTTAAGAAGGCCATTTTTGATATTGTTTCTACTGGAGAGTTTGTTTCTTTTCCTCCCCTTCTTCCCAGCCCTTCAGCACCCCCAGGATGTCTCAGGATCCCCTTTTAGGGCCCCCAGAAGGGCCAGGCCCAGGGCTGGGAGGTGCCAGCCTTGACTAACCCAGTGTTACCAGGTGAGCTATTTTGGAGAAGTAACTGGAGGCTGAGCAGAACACCCAGGACCCCGGCTAGGGAGCTCAGCCTAGCTTCCCAGAGAGGTCTCCTAAGGCGTGAGTCTTGTTTTCCCCACACACCCTCTTTGCAATAAAACCAACTCGAAAATCATAGATGTCATCTTGGCCAGTGGAAGCCACCAGGCTTGTGGGACAGCCCTTCTGGGACTCTTAGTAGGAAAGGGGCCCATGCCCTGTCAGCAACACTTTAACACAAACCTCGGGAATTGCACTAAACCCTCACCCCTGTCTTCGCACTAGCTTCCCCTCCTACTCTGCCCGTCCACTCTGCCTTAACCGCCAGCTAGTCCCGGGGCCACAGTGGCTGCATGGGCCCAGAGCCGGGACCCCCGAAGCCCCTAGCCCAGGCCCTACCCCGACTCTGCGCAATCACATACTGTATATAGACGTGGATCAATTTTATTTTTATTTTTTAAATTAAGGTCGTGATAAAGTGTTGCCAAAGATACTGCTGAATTTTTCACGTTTCAGGAAAAGATGTTTGAGGAGGGTTGGGCTTACTTGTCTGGGAGGATGCTGCAGAAAGGGTTTTTGGGTTTTTTGTTTTGTTTGGTTTGGTTGTTTGGGTTTTTTGTTTTGTGTTTTTTTGTTTTTTTTTTTTGTTTTTTGTTCTTGTTGTTTTGTTTTTGTTTTTTAACTGCCTGGTACAAAAAAAAAAAAAAAAAAAAAGAGAGAGAAAAGAAAAAGTGAAATTGTTATTTCCATCCTCATGGTGATGTTGCTTGGATGACTTCGTGCGCGAGTGTGTGAGACGGAAAGGTCCAGGCTGGGGGGCTCCAGGCCAGGGTCCCTCGAGCTAGGCGAGGAGGTGGGCTAGAGGTCCTGGCCTCGAGCCCCTCAGCCTGTGGGGACTGCTGGTAAAAGAATGTCCCCCAGAGGCCACTTCTTGCCTCCCCCAACCCTGCCTTTGAGATGGGGTAGTACAAACATGAGAAAAAAAGAGACCTTTTTTAAACCAGTGAATGTAAGATGGCAGACAAGGCCCAGCCCAGGTGCAGGCCTGTGCCCCCCCAGGCTGCAGAAGGCGATACCAAAGTAGGCCCAGCCAGGAGGCCCCCCAACATGGCCATAGAGTTTGGTCAGCGCTGTACCTAGTTGTTCCTTTGCTTCCTTCTGCGGGGGCCCTCCAGGGCTAAGGGAGGGTCCCCATTTCTTTCCTGGAGGCAGGTGGGTGGCCAGGGAGATTTACCATTATGTGGCCTGGGGCCATGCAGACATAGGAGCCCTGTAGGGTTGAGCACAGCAGGGGTCACCCCTAGGCCGAGGACAGACTCAGACCAGGCAGCCAGAATTACTGGAGGTGAGGCAGACAGAAAGGCAAAACAAAAAAAGTTAAAAAAAAATAAAAATTCAAAAAAAACAAAACAAAAAAAGCAAAAATCCTATTTTTTGAGAAAGAAAGATATTTATATTTGCAGTTTTATTTTAAAAAGTTATTTAAGCTGAGAAAGCAGCCTTCCCCGAGGTGGGGTGGGGGGGCTGGTGCAGGACGGGTCAGGGGCCTGGGGTTTCAGCCACCAAGGCCACAATCTCAGAGTTCAATGGCTTGCACTAAATACAGAGCTGTACAGTGGGGGCCTGGGGGGCAGCAGGGCCAGGAGGCAGGGGCCTGGGGCTGCCCAGAGCTCTGCGTGGGAACCCCATGCCCATGTGCCCCTGCCCTTCCCCAGGCGACATGAGGTGCCTTGGACTGTGGGGGCCGGGCCTGGCAAGGGGTGCGCGGGCAGTGCCTGGGGGTACAGAGCACAGCGCAGAGCAGACATTCCATAGACTGTATTTGAGAGTCTTTATAATAAAGTGTGGGAGACTTAAATTCAATTGATAAAAATGCACTTTTTGGGGGTGGGGGGAGACGCTTTAAAAGTAATAAAAACAGACAAAACAAAAATCATTTTTCTTGTACATAAAAGAAAAAAAAAAAACCACTAAACGCAGCCTGTTAAGATCGCTGCTGCCTCATTGCTTGATTTTGATGCTTTTGTGTTTTCTTGGGGGGCAGGGAGGGAGGGTCTGTGGTGCTGATTCTAGGTCCTTTATCTGTGGGTGAGGCCGAGTTGGCCTGAGTTTGGTTTGCTCAGACCCTCTGCCCAACCTTTCCTACCTAGGCCATGGACAATGGACAAAGTGACTAATGACTTGGGTGTGGCTGAGGTATGGGGGAGCCTGCAAGATGGGAGGCCCCACCTGGGAAGGTGAACCACACCTCGAGTGGGTGGACATGGGCCTGTGGGTCCTGGTAGGTGCCGCAGAGCAGAGGGGGGCTGGTGAGCAGGAAGAGCCTGCTGAGCAGGGTCCCTGGACACCTCCAGCCTGGCCCTGCTGGCTGCCAGGTGCAGAAGCAGAGGCCTTAGCTGGCTGGAGGCCCCTTCCTGTCCCACAGACTCGGGCAGGACTCAAGCTGCAAGCTCCTCAGGACCCCTCCTCCCTCCTGCCCACCCACCGATGTCCTCCGAGTGTGCCAGGTGGGGCCGTGTCATCACATCTAGCTCTTCCTAGGAGGCACAGGGAAGCCTCAGGGTCTGGGGCCACCACCCAGCCCCACTAGCTCATCACATGGATCCTGTGGCAGCTGTCCTGGCTCAGATAAGCCAAGTCACTTTCATATCTGCAGTCACCTGGGGTTGGCCATTCTGGAACATAGGCCAGGACCCACAGCCCATGGGGACCAGGGCCTGTGGACCAGGAGACCAGAAGCAAGCAGTGGCTCAGGCCCCCAGGTCCTCCTTACTGGCCCCCACCTCCTCTGATTTCCATCAAGATCTAAAACCCTTTATGCAGTGGGGCTCATCTAGTCAAAGGAAGTCATGACCCTCCCTCACCTCAGCGGAATTCCAGAACATTTATCACTTCCCCATCCATCCCCACGATCAGTCACCCCAGCCCTACTTCTGTCTGGAATTGCCTGTCCTGGGCATTTCCTGTCCCACGCTGTGTGTCTACCTGGCATCTCACTGAGCATGGCATCCTTAAGGTCCATCCACACTGTGGCCTCGCAGCTCTGCTCAGTGATGTTCTGGAGCAGGGATGACCTCGCCATGTGCATTCCACCAAGCGAGGATGGATTTGCTCCCATGCCTGGTTGCTGTGGCTATCCATGTACGAGCTTCTGTGTGCACACGCGTCTGCCTGCCTTGGCCCTGTGCCTAGCGGTGGAACTGCTGAGTCACTGCAGGCCCAGGGTTGAGTTTCTTCCTGTGAGGCTGGGGTGGGCGGCACAGCCTCCACGTGCAAGGTGAGCGCTTGCCACTCACTGAGCCCCCAGCCCATGATCTTTGTTGGAGGCTGTTGCCACTTCACACACAGCTGTTACCTTGCTCTGATCCCAGCATCCTGTAGTGTGGAACAGCATCTCTTGTAGCTGTCACCTGATTTCTTTTCTGCCAGCACTGGTCACCAGTGTGTGTCCTGGTTGACTATTTGTCTACCCAGGTGGCCAGGGACAGTCTTAGAATTTAGAGAGGGTTCTGAATCCTGTGACAGAACTGAACAACCTCACCCCAACTCGCCCACCCATCCCTTAGCAGACACCTCTTGGAGTCAGAGGGTCAAAGAGACCAGCCCCTCTCTGAAGAAAGCATTGGCTTCACCACAGCCCAGGGCAGCCCTGGGAAGGGGGCCCTCATCCTCTCATTCGTTTCCTGGTGCTATGGGAGCCATGTGACACATCAAGGCAAGAAGACACCTATAATCCCAGCACTCAGGAGGTCAAGGCAAGAGACTCATTCCAAACTCTGGGCAGCATTCAAAATCAGTCTCAACTACAAAGACTGTGTCTCACAAAATAAAAAAAAAGCCGATCAAATAGCTCAGCATATTAAAGCGCCTGCAAGCAAGCACAGGGACTGGGGGTTCAATCCCTGGGCCCAGGCCCTGCCCCTACCCCTGGGGTTTGACGAGCTGGCAACTGGGACTGGGCGTGGTGTCAAACGCCTGTAATCCCAGCCTTTGGGAGGCTGTAAACAGGAGAATCACTGAGTCTGATCTAGTAGACTCTTCCCTAAAATACAAAAAACAAAGACAAGACAAAAACAGCTGGGGATATAGCTTAGCAGTACATTGCCTGCCTGGCAAGCTAGCGGTCATGACTTCAACTCTTGGTACCATAAAAACCCAACAAGAACAAGAAAAATGCAGTAGGGCCAGCCAAATAGCGCAATGGATTAAAGTGCCTGCCAGTAGATGCAGGGGTTGGGGGTTCATCCCCGGGCCTGCCTTGCCAGCCCCACCCCTGGGGCGCACTGAGGTCAATTGAGACTGGGCATGGTGGTGCGCACCTGTAATCCCAGCTCTTAGGAGTCTGATCTAGTAGCGAGACCCTGAACACTCTGTAGACCTTTCCCTAAAATAAAAAAGGAAAAATGCACAAAGAACAAAAATCCCCCAAATAAACAGAACACAGAACAGATGCCTCCATGGCTTTACGTTGACCTTTTTTATTTGCATTTTTAAAAAACAATTAAATTAGAATACAAATATTAGAAAAGAGCGGCCCTCGCTGCCCATGCAGGCGGGTGGCCAGCTGCAGCGGAGTTCATACAGTTAAGACTGAATGTGCCCTCGTCCAGAGCGCAGTCCCCTCCTCTAGACCTGAAATGATATTGCTTCCTGATTAGGGCAGTTCTGCTCAGACCGGGAACCAGGGGGCAGGCAGGGCGGGAAAAGCACAACAGAAGGGCTGGGCTGAGGGTTCCGGGGGGGCCCCCGCCGGCCCTCACTATTTCCTGGGACACCCCTGAGGCCCAGGACCTGGGAGCTGGCAGGGGCCCCAGAACCCCCTGGGCCTGGCTGGTTTGGCGCCAGGAGCAGGGCAGGCAGGCTGGAGGGTGCCCCCGCCTGTCCTGTTGGAAGATCAAGGCTGGGGGAGGAGGCGCCAGGCAAAGTCTCGTACCCGTGGAAAAACCCAAGAGCGATAAGAAGGGAGGGGAACCACCCCAAATCCTGCGGGCCCTGGGGACCCCGATGGCAGGGGGCCAGTGTGGACATCGGTGCTGTTCCTAGGGAGTTAACCTGAATTGGAGTTACCGAGGTAGCTGGCTTAGGAAACGGAGACCCCCACACACCACACAGTGCCGCACTTGGGGCCCCTGCCTCCCCCGGGGAGGTCCTGGCCGCCGCCGGGTCTTCAAAATACCAAGTTATTGCACTTTCAAAAAATACATGTCTGTGGCGAGCCCCTCCCTGGCCCCTCCCACCCCGCCCCCCCCAACCCACTCCATGGCTTCTTAGCTAAAATGCAGAGAGGAGCAAGAGAATCGGACCTGCAGAGGCAGGGAGGTCTCCCGTCCCCACCCAGGTCCCTTGACATCAGCTGGAATGGTCATGGGGAGGGGACAGTGGTGCTTCCCAGGTCCTGCCTGCCGTCCCTCCCTGGGTTCAGCTGACTTGGGAGGCCTGGGTTGTCTAGGGGGCGGCTGCGGTGTGGGTGGCTTGCCTTGTTTTTTAAGTTTCAATCCTTTTTGTTTTTTCCTGTTTCATTTTTCTTTTTTTTTTTTTCTTTTTTGTCATTTTACTGTTTTTTAATCCCCCCGAGAGGAGAGTCCAGAGGTCCAGAGGCAGGAGCCAGGGACAGGGGTGCAGAAACAAACGGACAACGAGAAGAAAAGCCAAGTCCCTCCCCTGGCGCCCGGCTGCCCGCCCTCCTCACTGAGCACCAGGAAAGTTGTGTCTGGCGGCGGTGGCCACAGCCAGGTCAGCAGGCCGGAACCAGGCCCTTGGGCAAGGGGCAGCGGCGCTTGGGCCGGGGGCCCTCTTCCTCCTCCTCCTCGTCCTCGTCCTCCTCCTCTTCCTCCTCCTCTTCGGATGATGAGCTGTCCAGCGTGAGGTCCACCACATCAGCACCCGGCTTCCCGTTCTCCACGCTGCCCACTGGGCCCACCCCGCCACCTGTGCCACCTAGTGCCACGCCACCGCCACCACCATTGACGTTGGGGGTGGGCACCAGCCCATTGGTATCCGAGGTGCCTGCAGGCAACAGGGAGGAGGGTACAGGGGTTCAAGATGCTGCCAACGCAGAGCAGAAACCAAGCCGGCTCCCTGGCACCGAGACATCAGTGCTACCCAACAGTGGCTTTGGGTGAAGCACCCAGTGGAGGCGGTAGGCTCCTAACATCCTGGCACTCTGGGAGGCCAAGGCAGGAGGATCCCAAGTCGAAGCCCAGTCTGGACAATTTGGTAGAGACTTACTGGGACCCTGTCTCACAATAAAAAATTAAAAATCGCTGGGGAGATAATCAGTGCATAGACCCTGGGTTCCATCTCTAATAGTGAGCACTCATCCAGCAAGCGCAAGGGCCTGAGTTCAATCCCCGGTTCCGGGGGTGGGGGGGAGCAACCTCCAGTAGTGAAAAACAGAACAAGAAACTGCCCAGAAGCAGGACTGAGGACAACGGACGGTCTAGGGACTCACCCAGCACCAGGATGGGGCCCTGCGGGCTGCAGCTCCGCTCCTTCTCTGCTCGGATGGGGCACCATGAGCCATCAGCCAGGAACTCGATCTCATCGGCGTCCTCACACTCACTCAGGATCTTGGACAGAAGCCTGGGGCGAGGCAGGCAGGTGGTAACGGGGCTGCGTCCTTCCCTGACCCTGGACCCCAACACCACTGCTCACCACTCTGCTCCTGGGGCTACCCTCCCATGCTGGGACGCATGCCCACCTCACCCCCATGACCACGGTGCCCTGGGACCCCCAACTTGGCCACATCCTGCTCAGAGATGGGATAAACAGGCCCGAGACCAGGATGCACACCTAAGGTCTCAGGGTTGGCCCGCCCGGCTCCAATACCACAGCTCATGAAAAAGAGTTCTCTGAGCATGGGTTTGGGGGCTACAAGGCAGATGTGGGCAGTCAGCCAGCGTGGGCAGTGACTTGCAGGGTGGCAGAGCCCATGCAACAATGTCCGAGCCAAGGCCTGGGCCGCACCTGGGCTCTGGGTAATGGGGACCAGAGCTAGAGAGGGGTACAACCACCTGCCCTGGATCTAGAGGCCCGGAGCTGTCGGAGCTGCTGCCGCCACCGCCGACTGGGGCCTGAGCCACCACTCCTGGCTGGGGGGAAGGTAGCTTGGGGCGCAGCTGCCAGGCTGGGAACAGAGCACCCATTCAAGCCCAGCCCACGTGCCTGGTCCCAGGGCCCTCGTTCCTCTCCACTGGACCACGGGAGCAGCAGCTGGGGCCCTTCAGGGCGGACCTGGGCTCAGTGCTGGCCAGCTCTGGGTTCAAGTTGCCAGGCTGTGCTACGCCTCAGTTTCCTCATCAGCAAGGTGGGAAGAGGCTGAAAAGCATAGCTCAGTGTTGAGCACTCGCCTGTCTCTGCAGGTGAAGTAAAAGGCAGGAGGACCCAAGGTCAAATCCTGTGACAGGGACAAACACCTAAAAGGGGTCCATTTAAGGAATAAAACACCCCACAGTGAGAATGGCCCAGGGGTCTGGATTTGGAGACCTCCTGCCTGACTAGTCACAGGTATGTGGCACCTCAAGGAAGCTGAGATGGCAGCCTCGCACCCTGCCTAGCAGTGGCAAGGAGATGGAAGGGCCTGGCAGGAGCCTAGTCAGTTGATGCAGACAATGGGGCTCAGTTTCCTGAAACCCAAAACCAGTTTCCCTTTTGGGGAGCAAAGACCTACCCCACCCTCTGCAGCACGAGAGGCTTCACAAGTCAGCCACAGGCTAGAACCACTTGAGAAAGAACCCAGAAGCTGGGCCAGACACCTCTCTTTCCACCTTCCTATAAGAAAGGGCAAGCCGGGCGTGGGAGCGCACGCCTATAATCCCAGCACTTGGGAGACTGAAGCAGGAGGACCACTGCAAGTTCAAGACTAGCCTGGGCTAAAAGTGAGCTCAAGGCCGGCCTGAACAGCATAGCAAGACCCTGTCTCAAGAAGACAAAAAAAAGGGGGGGGGGGCAGGGAGGAAGAATGCTGTCAGAGGAGAGCTCTTGGGTCCCATCCTATTCAAGGAGGACCGTCGTGTGCAGGTTCCAGGTCACAGGGGCACCATGATGGTCTGAGGCCCTAACTATGAGCTATGTGGCTGCTGCAGCCAGCATGGCAAGGCTCTGATGAGTCCTCTAGGAAGGAGCTAGCTTTTGTGCCACCGAGGCTGGTAAGGCTGTGTATAGGCCACAGGCCCACTGTGGACGAGGTCCGGGGAACCAGAGGCCCAACCTGGGCAGTGCAGCCTCGTGCCTCACCCATCAATGATGAGCTGGTCGTAAGGGGCTGGTTTGTCACACACTGGGCACATCCAGGTAGGCTTCTTCTCGTTCATCTGCAGGTAGAACACCGCATCGAAGCACTGCAGGTGTGCGCAGGTCTCCGCGCGGCAGGGCACCGAGAGCCGCATCTTCACGAGCTGTGGGCACGGGGGGACTGAGTGCAGGCGCCACGGCCAGCCTGCCCACCCCATCCCACTGGGCCATCCTCTTCATCTACTGCCATGGACACCAAGGCGACAAAACCAAGGTTAGCCCTGCCCTCTGGTGCTCCTGTGATAGTGAAGCAGCTATCCCTCACAATAGGAATGACAGGGCATAGACTCTGGTGGGGGGACAAGAGGGGAGCCATCACGTCTACTCACTGGACAGATAAGGGAGACCCGCACGCCAGTGGTGGCGATCTCACTGTCAGGATCCAGACGCAGCTTGTCTTTGACTGTGGGGAGAGGGTGGAATGGTGTCAGAGGGGAAGGGAGACAGCATCCCTCGCCCTCCAGAAAAGAAGCTTCCCTGACAGGGAGGCCTGGAGTCCAGCTGCACAGCTCAGGGCCAGAGGCGCCTGGGAAGCAGGTGGCCCATGTGGGCTTCTTCACATGCCGGGCTTCTGCTGACCCAAAAGGCATCTCCAGAGAGCAAACAGCACATGGCCAGCCTTGAACTCTCTGTATCACCCCGCTGCTTCTGTCACTGAGACATTTTTCCAAGGACTTGGGTCCCCTGCCACAAAACGACCACAGTCTCTCCTGCAGCTGAGACAGCACCATCACCACCACGGGCTTCCTTACAGCACAGACCTGCATCATGATATGGACGTGGCTTCCGCCACATGCCCCAGGGGTTTGGAGCAGCTCAAGAAGGAATCTGAAGGCCCAGAGCATGACAGGACCCCACAAGGAAGATACCACAGCTGGGAAATCTGAGGGCAATCTAGGCAGCAGTGAGGCAGGCCCACAGGTCCCTAGGCAGGTGCGTGGGAAGACCTTCCTAAGTGTGGCGAGCCAGGGTCTTTTGTTATGAGACAGGGTCTTGATGTGTAGCTCAGGTTAGACCTGAACTCATAGTGGACCGCCTGCCTCCGAGCTGGGACTGTAGGTGTGTGCCCCTGTGCCCTGAAGCTTCTGGGCTTTCCAAATGCTCTACTCACCAAAAAGTACCAGACAGACAGAAACCTCCCTGGCCCTTTATTCTTCTACCGCCTACCGCCGCCCTGTGCATCCTCATCTACCAGGTGCCACTGGCAAAAAGCCAGCAAGCACTGGGCCTGATCACACAGGACCAGTGAAGAGGCGGTTCGGGCCCCTTGGCGCCTGCCCGGGTTGTGTGCTCACCCAGCGCCTTGCACAGCTCCGGATGCTTCACGCCAATGGTCTCCAGCCTCTGCAGCAGCTCCGCTGAGGTCAGCTGCCGCACCAGGTACAGTGCTGCTGAGTAGCTCTGCGGGAGGCCCAGGTGTCAGGAGAGGCAGCGTGTTGGGCTGGGGCAGGGCACTGGGGACCTCGAGGCGTACTCACCTTGCCATAGTTCCCCCAGGTGACGGTGATGCGATTCGTGGCGGAGGACAGGTACATGAGGTGGGTAAGGTTGATAGGGCGGCAGGGCCTCTTGGGCTCCACTCCAGGCTTGTTGGAGGGGTAGTAGCCCTGCACATGGACCAGCAGCTCAAGCTGCAGGCTGTAGTGGGTCCCCCTCCCCAGAGCCCTGCCCCTCACCTGTCATGCCCACCCCTGTGCCCTCACCGGGACTGAGCAGTAGCTGTGGTTGACCTTGACAGCAATGTTGGGCGGGTACTGGTCCTCCTGAGGACAGCTGGTGTCTGAATAACAGATTCTGCAATGACAACGGGGACCGTGGGACCACTTCAGGAAGGAGGGGAGGGGGAAAACTGTCCCCAAATCCCAGGGACAAGGCTGAATACAGGGCTTAGGACAAGGGGCTGGGCAGTACATGGGGACCAGTGTCTTTCCCAGACAGGAGAGACAGCAGGAGGCAGCTTCAGTGTGTAGGGTGGGGAGAAAAGGGCTGTCACCAGGACAGGGTAGCAAGGGTGTGCCCTGGGGTGCAGGGACAGCTGGGCCTACCTTAGGACGACCTGCACGGCCTTGACTCCAGGCTGCAGCTCTCTGTGAGGCAGAGAAGACAAGTCGGGAAAGCAGGCACCCACCAGTGACCATCAGCTGGGGAGACCCCAGGACCCCACTGCCCCCACACTCCCATTACTAGGAAGGTGCCAGTCATTCTGGCCCACAGGGAAGAGGCACCGCCTGCACCAGGGGCAGGAGCAGCTGCCATGGCACAGGGATGGGGGCCACACCTGGAGTTCCGGATCAGCTCCACCTGCCTGGGTGTCAGCGCAAAGATGCAGGGGCTCTCCTGCAGCTTCTCGTTATTCTGTGGGACTGAGGGAGACAGGGTGAGAGCTGTGCCTGCCAGCCCCCGCTAACCCCTCCTTGAACCAGGATGGGAAGCGAGTGTAATCCTTTTTCTTTTGTCTTTTTTTTTTTTTAATTTATTTATTTTATTTATTTATGTGTGTGTGTGTGTGTGTGTGTGTGTGTGTCCAGCTCAGCCCACCAGGGGGCGGGGCTGGCTGGCATGTGGTGCTGGGGATTGAACCGCGGTCCATGTGCGTTGACTAAGCTTGTTCTAAGTAGGTGCTTTAGACCACTGAGCCATCTCACCAGCCCCAGCGAGTGTAATCCTGAGGACACGATCTCGCCTACCACCACCTACTGTGGGCCCTCGCGGAGCACCACTGTGCAGAAAGGAGGAAGGAGACACCCCCCACCCCTTCCTCGGGTGGTGAATGTCCTGGCCTTGGCCCTTCCTTTATTGGCCAATTCAGCCAGAGCTGTCCTGGGCACTCGGGCCAGTAGATGGACTGAGTAGCCATTCAGCACCACAAAGGCCAGATGGGGAGAGCCTGGCCCACGTGGCACACAGGCACAACACAGTAACTGAGCACCTAGTGGGTGCAGACGGCACAAGGGGCCTAGTGGAAGCCGAGGTTGGCAGAGACTTCTTAGACAGATGGGAGCATGATGATCACCGACCTGAGGTTTTCTACCCTGTTACAAGTTGGAAATTTTTTTTTTCTTTTTTGATTGTTTTGAGACAGGGTGTCACCATGCAGTTAGCTCACTGGCCTTGAACACAGGACACACAGAGGTAGGCCTCACATTTGCAGAGATCTTTCTGCCACAGCTTTCCAAATGCTGGGCTTATAGGTGTGCACCACCATGCCCAGCCAAGGACAGAGATGCTTTAAAGCCAATAGGAGGAGCTGGGGACATGGCTCAGTGGAATAAGCGCTTCCCTGGCAAGCACAAGGGCCTGAGTTCAATCCCCGGTTTGGGGGGGACGGGGGGGGGGATAAAGCCAATAGGAAACATCGATTTCCCAACACTTGTGTGATCGGGCCAACAAGATTATATTGTATTGCTAATGTTTAAAGTAAAAAAGAAAAGCTAAGCATAGCGGCACAAGTCTGTAATCCAGCACTTGGGCAGCTGAAGCAAGATCCTTGTAAGTTCAAGATTAACTTACAATACAGACCAAGAACTTGTATAAAATAAATACATGAAAGGTTTCCAGGTGAATGATCAAAGTTTCCTCATGAGAAGCCGGAAAAAGAAGTGTAAATCAAAGGCAAAGTAGCTAGGCATGGTGGCGCACACCCAGAATTCCTTCCAGCATTTGGGAGGCTGAGACAGAAGGATCATGTGAGCGAGAGGCCAGCCTGGGCTACATAAGCAAGTTCAAGGCCAGTATGGACTACATAGTGAAACCCTGCCTCAAAAAAAGGGGTGGGGGGGGGGCATAGCTCCAGGAGCTTGCCTAGCAAGCTCCCCCAAAAAAGCCAGTCATAGAAGGAAGGAAATGATATGAGATAAATATATAAAGCAGGGGCTGGTGAGATGGCTCAGTGGTCTAAAGCACCTACTTAGAACAAGCTTAGCAAAGCATAGGGACCGCAGTTCAATCCCCCAGCCCCACATGCCAGCCAGCCCCACCCCCTGGTGGACTGAGCTGGCCACACACACACACACACACACACACACATAAATAAATAATTTTAAAAAATTTTAATAAAAAAAATGTAAAGCAAGGACCAGCGAGATAGCTCAGCTGACTAAGCGCCTGCTGAGGCAAGTGCAGGGACCAGGATTTGATCCCCAGCACCACATGCTACTCTGGCTCTGCCTCCAGGGTGCAGCGCAAGACCCGGTTTAGTGGTGCATGCCTGCAATCCCAGCACTAGGGAGGCTGAAACAGGAGGATCATTACAAATCCGAACTGTGTAATGAAACCCTGCACCAAACATTTTTTTAAAAAAAGTAAACCAAAAGTTACAGAAATGAACTAAACCATGGGGCTGGGGAGATAGCTCAGTGGAATAAGCACTTGCCTGGCAATCTCAAGGACCTGAGTTCAATCCCCGGTTCCGCAAAAAAAAAAAAAAAAAGAGGAATTTCTTATGGGGGCCCAGGGAGATGGCTCAGTGGAATAAGTGCTTCCCTGGCAAGCGCAAGGCCCTAAATTCAATCCCCGGTACCAAGGAGATTAAAAAAAAAAAAAAAAAAAATTGCAACCTTCCCACAAAAAAACCCCAACAAAACCCTGGTGGTGCACACCTATAATTCCGGCACTCGGGAGACTGAGGCAGGGATCCTTGTGAGTTCAAGACTAGCCCAGGAGCCAGCCAAACATCTCAGCAGATTAAAGCACCAGCAAACAGTCAAATGGGCCAGGGTATCCCGGGCCTGCGTGCCAGGCCCGCCCTCGGGGCACGCTGAAACAGCAATTGAGACTGGGCGTGGTGGTACACGCCTGTAATCCCAGCTCTTGGGAGGCTGTAAACAGGTGGATCACTAGAGTCTGATCTAATAGTGAGACCCTGAACACCCTGAAGATCTTTCCCTAAAACACAAACAATAAATATTTAAAAATAAAAAGACCATAAAATGCCTGCTTAGGCAAGTTTAGGCAAAAGCGCAGGGACTGCTGTTCGATCCCCAGCACCATATGCCACACTAGTCCTGCCCCCAGGGTGGGCTGAGCTGGCCACAAAATAAATAAATAAAATAAAATAAAAATACCAGTCTGGGCTACAAAGTGAGCTCAAGGACACTCTAGCTGTACAGCAAGACCCTGTCTCAAAAAAAAGCAAAACAACAACAAAAAAAGAGGGACCAGGGAGATGGCTCAGTGGAGAAAGTGCTTCCCTGGCAAGTGCAAGGGCCTGAATTCAATCCCTGGTTCAGCAAAAAAAAAGAAAGAAAGAAAGAAAGAATACTTTCCAATCTATGTTATGAAGCAACCATAACTCATACCAAAACCTGAAGAAATGCATTAGGAAAAAATACTAAACCAGGCATGGTATCACATACCTCTTACCCCAGCACTCTGGAAGGCTGAGGCAGGAGGGTCACAAGTTCAAGCCCAGGCTGGGCAACCTAGAGAGATCTTGTATCAAAACAGAAAATGGCCAGGGATGGAGCTCGGGAGTGAAGACCTTAAGTTCAGACTCTACTACTAAAAGAAAAAAGAAACAAAATCACAAACCAGGCTGGCGAGCTAGCTCAGCGCACTGAATGTCTGCCTCGGCAAGTGCAGGGACCACAGTTAGATTCCTGGCACCACATGCCTTGCTGGCCCCACACCCAGAGCCTGGGCGTGGTGATGCACGCCTGAATCCTAGAGCTGGAGAGGCTGAAAGCAGGAGGATCACCACAAATCTGAGCTGTGCAGTGAGACCCTGCAACAACCAAATACATAAAAATTTAAAAAATAAAAAAAAGAGGGGGCCTGCCCATTAGCACAGTTGTTTCAGTGCCTGCTTAAAAAAGCAGTCAGGCTCAAGATGCTCTGGTTCGAGCCCAGTCTCTCCAAAGGAAACCAGAGATTCCCTCAAGGCATCTTGAGACCCCCCCCCCCCCCAATTGCAAAAAAAAAAAAAAAAAAAAAGAACAACAACAAAGGAGCAATGGGGCCAGGGAGATGGCTCAGTAGAATATGTGCCTCCTTGGTAAGCATAAGGGCCCAAGTTCAATCCCTGGTTCCATAAAAAATAAAGAAATAAAAATAAGTAAATAAATACATAAAGTATTTATTTGATACATGGTCTTGCTATGCAGTTCAAACTTGTAGTGATTGTCCTGTCTCAGCCTCCCCAGCAGTAAGATTACAGGCATGTGTCACCATGTCTGGTTTCTGCAACTGGCACGGCACACCTGAGGTTCCAGGGCTGGCATGTGGTACCAAGGATTGAACTCTGGTCCTTGCACTTTCCAGGCATGTACTTAGACTGCCAAGCCCACAAATCTGTCTTTATTTTTTAGGCCCTTATGCTTGCCAGGGAAGCGTTTATTCCACTGAGCCATCTCCCCGGCCCCAAGTCCACAAGTTTTGTATCTGCTTTATTTGATACTGGGAACTGAGCCAGGGAGATGGCTCAATAGAATAAGGACTTCTCTGGCAAGCTCAAGGGCCTGAGTTCAATCCCCGGTTCGGCAAAAAAAAAAAAAAAAAAAAAAAAGGGCAGCAAGCTGTGATACTGGGAACTGAACCCAGATTGTGATAGGGAATATCCCCAGCCCTTTATTTTTAAATTCTGAAACAGGGTCTCATTAAATTCCCCAGGCTGGCCTAGACCTTGATATTCTCTTGCCTCAGCCTCCCGAGTACTTTTATTTTTGATACCAGGGACTGAAATAAATAGAAGCATCAGTACACAAAGCCTGTACATCAAGCATACAGCACACACATGCAATCCCTAGCCCTCAAGAGGCTGAAGCTGGGGTATACAGCTCAGCTACACAGCACCGCCTGGCAAACACAAGGTTCCAAGTTTGATTCCCAGTGCCAAAAAAAGAAAAAGAAAAAGAAAAAACAAAACAAAACAAAAAAACCCCCAAACAACAGAGGCTGAGGCTGGAGGAATGCCTGGGCTATAAAGTAAGATCCCCTCTTAAGAAATCCAGCCTCATACAGGATGTTTATGGCAAATTCATCCCAACAGCCAGTAAGCTAGAAGCAAGCAGGCACCCTCCAATAGTAGAACAGTGTGCTAGTCACACAATGGAGACAGTACCTAAAAACACACTGAGCTCAGCAAGATGGCACACACTTGCCACCCCAGCTACTCAGGAGGCTGAGGCAGAAGAATCCCAGTTGGAAGGACACCCTGAAAAATTCAGGGAGACCATACTGCAAAGCTTAAAAAATAGTGGGGTGGGGGCTGGTGAGATGGCTCAGTGGTCTAAAGCACCTACTTAGAACAAGCTTAGCAAAGCACAGGGACTGAGGTTCAATCCCCCAGCACCACGTGCCAGCCAGCCCCGCCCCCTGGTGGGCTGAGCTGCCCCCCCATAAATAAATAAATTTAAAAAAAAATAGT